TTACCTAAGAACCACACTGCGCTATCATCTGCGGGCAAACGGGGTGTAGAAAAACAGCTTTTATTCCAGATATTTTACAAAGTCATTATCACAAGTTTTTCACCCATATCATTATTCTGTGCCCACCTATAAAACATTAATAAAACATACCTATCAAAAACAGGTAATGAAAGATCCCCGGGTGCACACACTTGATCTGGGTGATCGTTTACTGGAGTTTATGAGTATGTCACAAAAAATACAAAGGAGAATCAACACTCTTCATAATAGACAACTGCAGTGCGAAACCTAATTTACCAAAAAGAAAGATATGATTTCATATTGAGCATTCTCCGGATGACATATAGAGCATAGCGTTTGTCCTGAGAGATCTCAGAGAGCAGACTAAATGGGTTGCCCTATTTCATTGCAAAGACCAAGATTCATTTGAGGAATGTCTACGCGAAAATGATGTTATTTCTACCAAGCTCGAGCGAGATAAAGTCAGAAAACTGTTAGCGGAAACGAAGCACTCTAAACTCATATTAAAAACTGACCAACCAGCTTCTTATGCATTTGCTTAGCAAATTTTAGCAACTGCTCAGCAAATTTCAGCAAATGCTTGGCACATATTAGCAAATTTTACCAACTGCTTAGCAAATTTTAGCAAACTTTAGTGAGTGAGTGAGTGAGTTTGATTTTACGCCGCTTTTAGCAATATTCCAGCAATATCATGGTGGGGGACACCAGAAATGGGCTTCACACATTGTACCCATGATGGGAATCGAACCCGGTCTTCGGCATGACAAGCGAACCACTTGGCTTCCTGACTGCCCCTGGAAACTTTAGCAACTGCTTAGCAAACTTTAGCAACTGTTTAACAAATTTTAGCAAGTGATTAGCAAACTTTAGCAACTGTTTAGCAAACTTAAGCAAATTTAAGCAACTGCTCAGCAAATTCTAGCAACTACTTAGCAAAATTTTGCAAAATATAGGAAAAATATAGCAAAATATGGCAAAAATGTTGTACATTGAACACAAGCAACCATTTAGGTAATAATGTAGTTGGAAATCCTCATTCTTTTTTACCAGTTTATTATTTTGGGCTGTATTGGATATTTCATATTTCATTATATTAGACTAAAATATTGGCTAGTGTGTTATATTAAAAAGATGGAATGAGACAAACTTCTCGAACAACTGCTCCAAGATGAGCCAGAACCTGTAGTTACAGAACAGCATAGAGAAAGACTTGCAGCTTTGGTAGCTGGTGGAAAATGCTCCCAATTCTTTAGGGAAAATTATACCACTGAAAAAATTAATAACATGACCGATGAAGAAATTAAAAAAACTTTACGCAAGACTTGGAGCTACCACGACTTGGCTATTGTACAACTATTCACAGCTTTACCTAGTATGTTTCTTCCTATCCCACCAGAAAATCGCCTGTATTTATGCGAATCTCTCGAGAAAGACCCATTTATTGAACATGCTTTAAGCGCAGTAAGCTGTGAGTTTTACCATAGAGATGGAATGTTCTTAGCACCACTTACCACAGCTTTAATAACAGCTAAGTATTGTCAATTTAAACATATGTGCCCACCTAATAATATAAAGAGAGAAGTTCAAATAAATACTGGAGGCGGAAATCCCACAAGTGAATGTGGAAATGCCACAACTGAACATGGAAACACCACAAGTCAGAGTGACTAAAAAAACCAGAAAAGTAGCCGCTGGTAAAAGGGGGCTATTAGCAAGGAAGGCAAAACTACACAGTGAACATTGTACACAACGGATTAAAACTTGGGCTCCCTATGCACTAGGCGTTATAGCAGTGGTATTGTTGTTTTTTAAGACTGGAGAAGAGAAAACACCACCAGTTCAAAAATTGGATGATGTTCAATTAGAGTTAAGCCCTCATGTAATGTTATAAAAGCATGACTACTCCAGCTACAGACGGTAAAATGTTGGTAAACACAGTGTCTCATTCGGCAGTTGTTAGTGGCTTAGCAATAGTCTATGCTCGTATAGGTAAAATGATTACTAAAGCCCAACCACCCAAGCTAGATTTTGATGGTTATGATATTGGTATGATGGTTCTAGATGTAGGCCTAGCTATGGCTACTAAGGAAATGCTAAACAAACAAGGACTTATCCCAGAAGACATAATGAAATAATCAAACATTTGAATATTTATGAACATAGTTCAAGCATAAAATGGCATCAATTGTAATGATGGTCAGTGGAGTGATTTTCGGGGAGTAATTTTTTATTCTCTTCTATGAGAGGAGCAGAAATGACACAATAAAGCATTAGAACAACTCGAAACAGCCCAGTCACAATGGACCAGGAAAAGAATGCAGAGGCTTGATTTTATCAATGAAGAGCTTCGTAACGTTTAAGGATGTTGAAACAGCCATGCACAAATACTGGGAAGACACTTGACCCAATTGGCACAAAGCCAACACTCACTCATGGTCTATACACCGTCAGAGAAACAGAAAGACTGCAAGATAGCATTTATAGTGTTGGGATTGTAGGCAGTTGCTATTTTTAGCCATGCTATTAATAGTCATGACACAAGGCAGAGACTCAGCTGACATGCATTTAGACAAATGATACTAGAAGTGTATATTTATCACAATGGCAAAGGGCACATCCAGATGTAAATTCATATGCATGGGCCAATCCCAAAAATGTTGTGAGAGTTAACTATACATGTTCTGTATGTGGGATTGGGGTCAAAGGTCATTACTGTTTATGCAAGAGTCTATAAGCGCATCATTAGATGCATCAATTCAGCAAATACAAGAAACTTTAGAGCACTGGACGCCGCTTTTAGCAATATTCCAGCAATATCACGGCGGGGGACACCAGAAATGGGCTTCACACAATGTACCCATGTCGGGAATCGAACCCGGGTCTTCGGCGTGACAAGTGAACCCTTTAACCACTAGGCTACCTGACCGCCCCGGTGTTTCATGACCTTAGAGGATATGATTCTCATCTCATCATGAAAGCTATCTCAAAGACTGATGGTGGTTTAAGTGCATTCCTAATAATATGGAAAGATATATATCATTCGCATTGACTTAAACCATACATTATACGGACATGGATAGGAAAGCGAGAACAAAACAATGTAATGGACTTAGATCCATAGGCTCTGTACAATTTCTGTTATCTTCCCTGGACAATTTAGCTAATGCAAACAATCGTGCTTTGTTAATAGTTTAGTTACTGATCCCATAAACTTGCGACCAGGATCTACTTAAAACAACTAAGGCCATTTTAATGGTCCACCTTTATATATGCGGCTCAGTGCATTAGCTACTTCGGTTGAATCTTTCGAGGTAAATGGCTCAGCCTCTTTAAACAGACTAGCTACATCTACTACGGTTAAAGCATATTTATAGGTTTTGCGTCTTACCTTATCATGAGGAAGAAACAAGAGGTCAGCCTGATGAACTTCATTCCTTGTGAAAATATCAAACTTTTTCCTCGGTATATAACAAGGGGGCTGGTAAGTATATTTGTCATATTGCTTATTTCTTTAACCAATCCTTGGCAACATCTTTAGATACCTTAGCAGCAATTGCCAGTTTTTGTATTGCTCCTATACCTTTCCAATATCCTCGCGGGCTATAGTAAATTTTATCCATTATTAATTAATATTGATCTTTCTCTAATTTGATCCATGACGATCATTGGATCGCATTGCTGCATTGCATAAAACATTACCTCTGTAGTAGCATTATTGGGGTATGAATCTGGCCTAGGTCTCAGTGGTCTAGAACTGTCATTTCCTATACTACTTTTGGCGATGTAAGTCGGTCTCAACAAATTGTGTTAGAAAATAAGCAAAGAATCCTAAACTGTCGTGTTCTTAACAGCATCGAGGTATGCTTTCAGCACGCCATGTCATACAGCCTAAAGATCGCAACCTTAGCGCTACGTTTGACAAACGGAATTAAGATCGAGCTACGGTTGCTTTGTCAAACAAGCGAAACTTCAGACTAAGTTAACCTTAATTCTAACAATAGTGGTTGAGGTTTGCCTAACCTGAGGTTGTTTTGTGTAAAGGGCCCTGATTTTTGCTCGTATGCAATCACTCAAAGTATAGCTTATATGATATACTTACAACAAAAGTTCCCAAAGACCTCATGACTGACATTATACGAACTTCATAGTGTGTACTCAATGAAGAAAGGAGGTAAGTTAAGTTTGCCAGACGTGTAAAACAAAAACATTTTTCACCTGTCACTTACTTTTTTGTAGTTATTTTAAACTAAACTTAAAATGCCTCTAAATCATTATATATTATCGTGTATGCAATAGGAAAAGTTGTGACCTTTTCGGTTTTTTGGCCGAAATTAACAGTAACTCTACATCAGAATTTATACTGCTACTTGAACATTTATCTACGGTTTATAAATAATTCCAAACTGCAAATAATAACTCCACTAAACTCGAATTTACGAAGTTACCGACAATCTACAGGAAGGATTTTACGTGCGCTAACCCTTCACGTAAAATTCAAAATGATATCATAGGTATTTTGACAGACAATAATATTGGGGGGATTTGAAGCAAATGAGTGCAATTTAAGCCGGTTTAGCAATATAGCTGCAATATCGGTTTGCTCCTCACGTGGTACATACATTGAGAATGAAATCTGGATCAGCGTTACGTACCAATCGAACGCTTCAGCAACAAGGCTTCCCAATCTCCCAGTGCCTGAATGAGCGAATTATGCTTTACGCCGCTCCGAGCAATACCCCTGCCATATCAAGGCGAGGACTGCTTTAATGGGTTTTACACAATGTATCCATATGTGGAATCGAACCCGGCTCTTTGGCGTGATGGGCCATTGCTTTAACCACTACCCCATGACAGACTGATCTCATTCTAAAACACAAAGCTAATCAAGAAAATAATAAGGCTGGCATATTGTAATGTATGTAACGTACTTGATACTGATTGATAGTAGAGTGCGCGTAAACAACAGCATATACACCTACCACTCAAGCACCAAACAACGCTTGTCAGGCATGGTAGAATGTGTCGTAGCTTGGGTTCCCTTGATAGAAACTGCAAAACAAAACATAAAACAATAAATACGCCAAATAACGATTGGCACGCAGCAATGGGTCTGCACAATATAAGAATATTTATATATATAAAACGAGTCTTGATCCGTTGACACGTCAAAGGTGATATGCAATACGTTACAAATCTAGGCATTCAGCATTCCGACATTAGAAGTAGTGACTACTACAGTCCTTGGATTTGTTATCCTCAAATTATCCTTTTGTTCTTCCAAATTCACCGTTAATCAGTCGTTCACACTTGATGGCAAATCATTTTCATATCGACGCAACGCAATTGCACACTATTATTGCGACTGTTTTAGTGCTTAAATAAAGGAAATTAAAGTAATATATTGATTGCGAATGAACGAAGGAATTCATATTCCATGTCTCTCTTGTATGGACTCCGTACTTTCAGTGAACCCGTAGAAGACAGTGACACAAACCATGATGGTTGTTTAAATACAAATACAGACAAATCGATGTACAGGCCGAGTCAGGAGTGGGTTGTGTGGTTTCAGTAATAGTCCATCTCCAAACAATATCAAACGAAAATTATTATCTCCATTTGAAGTCGATCTTGTGGGGTTTTGCAATCAGGATGTGAATGCATTTCACGTAAAAGTGTTTTACTTGTCTAGTGTGACAACGGATCTGACCTATTTTAAATGTGCAGGGGGAAATGTATGTTTCTCGACATATCTCGAGCCTAGCAACGTGAAAATGACAGGTAATTGAACTAGTTGCCGATGATATATACAGCAGTGTTTCAAAGATAGATAGGATCGGAGTGTAACCGGGATAATCGTTTGCAGAAAAACGAGGGGATGGGGTGTGAGGGGTTATATATTGGGGGACCTCCACGATGATTAGGGCAAATCATCATTTCAAAGTTTGCTTTAAATAAAAACTACATTGGGACTAAATTATTATTGTTAAAGCTTAACAAATGCCAGCTGATTTAACTATATGCTTTCGATATAGGCAAAACACACTACAAACAACATACTGAGTTAACCACGTTTCTGAGTTTCGGAAGAAAATGTGTGATGCTTTTTTATGACATATACTCTTAAAAAAAGAAACGCAAAGCCAGATTTGTGTGAGGTAGGAAAATACATTTATACGAGGAACCGTACGAGGTATTGAGCCATAATGTTGTGGGGAGAACACTTGGTGATTGCAGTCATCTCAGTTATCGGTACATAGGAAAAGTCCAAGGTGAAGGTCAGCTACCATCAATAACGCGTATGCCCCCTGTTCGAATCGATAGCGGCGGCGGCCTGTCATCTCCTGCCCATGGAAGAGACGAGTATGCGAATCACATCCTGGGGAATGGTAGCCTAATCGGCCTGCAACGCAAAAGCAAACCGCTGCAACGTCTGGGGTTGTGGTTGACGTCGGCGTAGACGTCTATCAAATTCATCCCACAAGTGTTCTATCGGGTTCAAATTCGGGGATCTGGAGGGCCAGGGGAGAACATCAAGGTTGTTGTTGTGTAGACAGGCTCGTGTGATCCGTGCTGTATGCGGTCGAGCGTTGTCCTGCTCGAATACACCGTTGCCGTTGGCAAGGACGTGTGGTAGGAGAAATTTCGAGAATAATCGGATATGGACCAAACCTGTCCTTCCATGATGAGATATCCACCCACATCATAACGCTACTCCCACCAAACCTTTCCACGTCCTGTACGCAGTTTCCGGCGTAACGTTCTCCCCGACGTATGTAGCCCCGTGCTCTTCCATCCATTCGTCGCTGAACCAGACATTGGGTGCGTTTTTACGAATTGTACGTGTTTCCCGACTAATGGTTTGCATGTCATTGTTGTCATCATTTTGATCCGGGAATGTGTCACTGACACTATAACACATCAAACCTCTACATTTTGCTTTTATGGCCCAAAATATCCCTATTGCGTTTCTTTTTTTTTGAAGAGTATATGTTTTGTTATTTTAAAGATCTGATTTGTGTCGAATTGAATAGATATGACATTAAACAACACAGCAAGACAAACGTCTATGTTAAAATATTGCTGAAGACATTAAGACTTGTAAGAGTCCTGAATGTGTTGTTTCTATTCATGAAAACATACATTGCCCTATAACAGTCGTCTTGTACTTGCACCTATTCATACACAGCTTCAGGTTAATATTAGCCATAAATAATCACATAAAATACGGAGGCACATATTCACAAGTTTTTACATTTATACAAACATAGTTTTAAAAAGAATTTCTATAATGAGTATATTTGAAAAACACGCTTGTGCGGAAATACCACTAACATGAACATAGATATGACTCATATAATATTCATGTCCCTGCAACTGAACACAACACGTGTGTGTTTATAACAATTCAGTGTCGGGATCCGCCTAGTGTGCGGCGCAGCGTCATCATGGGTGCTTTATAGGTTTTAGCATCTGGCTCCAATATAACAATAAGACTCAAATATAGAGAGCAGAAAATTAGTAAAGGTCCTTCTGTTTTTCGCCAATTATAAACGCGACCTGACATAAATTATTTGTAAAGATGACTAAGGAGAGAACATGTTGCAAGCAAAGTCATTGGTTCACAGATTTAATAACGCCAGAGGCATTTCATTGCATCACTTTTATCTGTACTTGAAAAATAAAGTCCACATAGAGAAATGTTCTTACAAGTTTAAAACACACCAATGATGTTTTTCGAACAAAACAAAGTTATTTAAACAACTTAGATGAAGAAATAAAGAAAGCCAAACATACTCGTAAGGCAAGTTTAATGCATACGTACCATCGACCGGCTGGACACAGAGAACGTCGTGACAGGTAAGCTGATTTGGAGCTCTGACAAGAAAAACGTTTGAATAATCTAATATATAGCCAGCATTATCTCAGCAATTGGTTGGGAGGAGCAACAGATACAAGCTGTAACTTGCTTCAAGTGCTATGTGTTGGCGTGTGCAGATTGTTACCGAGCTATTTTTGTTACATCATTCACTTGACCTTTCAAGACAGCAGTCTGATCAGAGCCACTGCGACAAAAAGTTTCTGGAGCACATGAAGGAGCAAGTTACATCTTACTTCGCACAATAATTCAAACTTTTACATTGTGGAATATACGCTCTCTCAAAAAAGAAACGCAACCCCTATATTTTCAAGATGTTTATCTCAATATTCAAGTTATTAAAACACATTTATTATTGAAGACAACAATATGAAATTTGGCATGGTGGCAGTACAGTTATGCAAGTTTAAGTCCAGACTTCGACAGTTCTCTCACTAAGATTTACATGACGCAAGGGGGCGTCTTTCTCAGTACCTCAAGCTGCGATCACAGCATTACACCTCCTAGGAACAGAACGGATTAGACGCCGGATTCTTTCCTGAGGGATTGCTTTCCACACCTCCTGCAGTGCAACGGCTAGTGCATCCAACGTCTGCGGCGGCGGTGTACGTGCACTTACTCGTCGGTCCAGATAATCCCAAAGATGTTCGATTGGGTTGATGTCTGGTGATCGGGAGGTAACACGTTGACGTTAGAATTCTGGAGAAAATTCACTGTTGCATGAGCAGTGTGCGGCCGGGCGTTGTCGTGTTGATAGAGCTCCCTCTGTTGGTCGATAATCGGCAGAAGATGAGGCTGTAAGACGTCATTGATATAGCGCTTGGCTGTCAAATTGCCACGAATGATCACCAAGTCTGATCTTTGGTTGTAAGACATGGCTCCCCACACCATGACGCTCCCTCCTCCAAATCTGTCGACCTGCCGAACACTGTTCGGGGCAAAACGTTTGTTTCCTCTTCTATAGACACGCTGTCTTCCGTCACGGCGTTGTAAGAGAAAACGTGATTCATCACTAAACCAGACGCGCCTCCAGTTTCTGAGGGTCCATATCCGAACGTTGGTGCACCACAGAGTCGTTGGCGTCGATGTTCGTGGCGTAAAACAGGTCCAATAAGTGGTCTTCTTGCACGTAGACCGTAGACGGTTCCTAATTGTTTGTGCGGACACTCTTCTCAAACCTGGCACCTGTGTTGCAGTGACGGTAGGTGTGGCTAGCCAATTACGTAGGTGGATGACCCGGATGAATCGACCCTGAGGTGGTGTGGTAACCCTTGGCCCAACACTTCTGGGGCGATCTTCAGTTGCATGAAACTTGGTGTATCGGCTCCAAAGCCCGGAAATCGTTGTTTTATGAACATTAAAACCGGGCAACGTTTCCAAAGCTTTATCCGGCCTCAATACGACCAGTGGCGATATTTCGATCTGCAGCACTCATCCGTGGCATATTCGACCTTGTCTTTCGGTGAAAATGATAGAGTGAATCGCTAATCAACACGTGCTTTTATAAACCCATACTTCTACTGCTCTTTCCATGAATTGCACGTGCATGAGGCTTTTGGCATGGGCCACGTGACAATTTTGCTCACTATGATAAAAGTAACAATAAAATGCCCTTGTGCACGAAAATTGGTGTGTTTGGGCGCTTACGTTAATAAACAGAGTACATGGTATAAGTGCATATCAGAAAAATTGTATTTACTATCAATATTTTTCTTCTTTGGGTTTTCTCACATTTTCAGACTGGGGTTGCGTTTCTTTTTTGAGAGAGTGTATGTAAAAAACGTTCACGGTGATAATAGGTTCTGACATACATACATACATACATACATACATACATACATACATACATACATATAGTAATAATTAAATAAGTGGAGTAAGATTGAACACAGTTTAGGAGAATGTCTTACTCCACTTATTTAAGTTTAGGAGAATGTCCGAAATCTCGCGAATATTTTCGCACGTGAAGCTTGTTCGAGGCCGTCAGGCCGAGAACAAGTTTCACGTGCGAAAATAATCGCGAGATTGAGGACTTTCTCCTACTTAAAACAAAGTTCGATCAAGTTAATGCCTCAAACTAATCTTCAAGTGATATTCACGTGTGTGTTCTAGTTGTACATAGTCATGACAAACCAAGTCGCTAAAACACACCAATAAATGTGCACAACTACGGGAGCGTGGTGTGTATATCTGCACATGCGACATCATATTTTTCGATTTTCGATGAACGACGTTCGACTCGGCAGGGTTGTCAGCATGAGTGCAAATGATTCCGACAACGATGTATTTGTCACACAAAATAGTTTCAACATTTTTGAGGTGGACGTTAATTCAGATTTTGAAACTTTACTAAATTTGGATATAAATGAACATCCAAACTTTGATGTTGGTAAATGTGAGTTGATTGATCTCGAAGGGTTTTCCTAAGGTTCTGACACTAATCTGTACAAAGCAAGCCAAGCAATTGAATCTCACCTTCTTAATTTGCTACCTTGTAACACTCGGTCGCCATTAACGTCATCAGAATTACCCTAATCACGTGACGCTTCTGAACAAAGCGTAGATTCAAGTTCAGCAAGGTTTGGCAAGCCAACATTAACATTAACATCAAGAAGTTGTGTGATTCGGCATACTCATCGAATACTGAAAAAAAGAGAATGTGGGCAGTTCGCTTGTTTCAAGGGTGGGTGAAGGAACGGCGTAAGTGGGGCAGAACAGAGGACATGGTATTGAACCCTGACATTGGTCACTGGCTCAGGAGGAAAGGGAGTATAAAATATTGATGTATTTTATGATTGAGGTCAGAAATAAGAAAGGCGATGAATATCGCGGAAATACTCTTTATGAAATTGTCTCATATCTACAATATTATATCAGAAGAAACGGCACTCAACTGATTTATTTCGAATCTCCGATGTTTCAAGGATTAAGGTCCGTGCTAGATGCGAGAATGAAATATTTGGCAAGACAGAGAATCGGGATAGAGAAAAGGCAGGCTGAAGTTGTCAGTGTGGACCAGGAAGACATGTTGTGGGAGAAGGGGATGCTGGGGGAGGGTACCCCCAACAGCTATTAGATACAATGGTGTATTTAATTGGCCTCAATTGTGCTCTGAGGGCTGGTGATAAGCACAGATATCTAAGAACAGGTCCGATTCACAGTTCGAAATAACAGTAGGTGCTGATGGGTTGAAATGTCTAAAATACATGGAAGATGTGTCCAAAACAGAGTTGGCTTAAACACCGACAGTGTGAACGAAAATGCGTCAAAGTGGGCCAGAACTTGGAACGTCCAGAGAGGTGCCTTGTTCGGCTTTATGAAAAGTACATGTCACTCAGGTAAGTTATCAATGAATTTGACAGTAACATTTAATGGTAAGGGTATCAGTGAAGTACCTTTTAAGAGTATATTGGCAAGTTGATTTAACTGTCTTGGAATTTTCAACTCAAGTGTTCATAACACGTCACCTATTATTATGACTTCATTACAATTTAGTGACGCACTTGTTTGAAAAATACACTAAAATATTGGTGTTAAGGAACTTTATTGTTGAGTATAATTTGAAGCAATACATATTTTAGCATCGATGGTTAACGTGAACAATATTTAATTATGATGTCATACTACATTGGGCGTCATTAAGTTAACAAAATGAAGTTCACACCCCTGTGCGCGGGGAATTGTCATTACTCACTTTAACTCGATGTTTGATATTGAAAACACATGTGTTTATATTAATTTGTTTTTTTATGTTATGTTCAGACCTAAAGACGGAATATGCACCGCATTTTACTTGAAGCCATTGAAATTTGTTAGAGAAAATACATGGTATGCTGACATTCCGATTGGATTACATCTTTTAAGAGGCACTTTCGGACGACTGTGTAAAGTGGCAGGTTTTAGTGGTGTTTATTCCAACCACTCCCCGAGGGCCACCACTGCAACACGTCTGTATGACTCTGGCCTAGACGAACGGCTTATCGCTGAGAGGACAGGGCACAGGTCTGTGGCAATACGAAGCTACAAGGTATGGTTTGTTGATACATTTGCGCTGGCTTGTATTATATGCCTGTCCGTAAAATACTACTAATATCATTAATACGCCATCAAGTTATCGAACGGAAAGCTCAGTTGTGTGGGTGTCACTTTGAAAAAGAACATATTTTCGTATATGTGTGATATCTAAATCATGAAAATGAAAAATCTAGTATTTAGTTTAAGTATAAGGGATGGTAGTTAATAAATCGTAGGGCTTCAATTTAGTATCTTCCTCAACTGGTTGGGAAGTTAAATTGAAAACTGATATCTACTCCAAACCAACGGACACCCATCAATACTTACAATTCGGTTCATGTCACCCCAGGCATACAAGAACTAACATTCCTTATTCACTTGCGCGGAGAGTAGGCCTATGTACCATCGTGTCGGAAACGGATAAAAGAGACTTGAGATTGAAAGAATTGATGGGGTATCTCAGGAAGCTAGGATATCCGCTTCGCGTCATAAATGACGCTACAGAAAAGTCGTTAAAAATTCCAAGAAATTCTCTCTTGAAACCTAATGAAAAGTCTGTGGGCGATCAAATTATACCGTTTGTGTCCACCTTCAATCCTAATAACTGTGATATCATGCTAGTCATAAGGGACAACCTCCCAATTCTACAGCCAAGTGATAAAATGAAACAAGGACTGAATAAATTCAAAATTATAAAAAGTACCAGGCAACAAAACAATCTCAAGCAAATGCTTTGTCTATCCAAATATTCTTGTACAGAGAGTGTACCATGTGTAAGTAGATGCGGCACGTGTAACATCATTAATGAAGGTACCATTTTCCTTTTTGCAAATGGCAAGGGTTTCATTGTGAAAGCCGACATGAACTGCCGCAGCAAAGATGTGGTGTATGTTATGAGATGTTCGGAGTGCGGCGAAAACTACATCGGCGAAACCGGCATGGAATTAAAAGATAGAGTCACTGTACACAAACAGCAGATGAGAGACCCTAATGTTCGATGCTTAAGTGTCAGCAAACACATTGATGATTGCAGAAACGGATAATTTAGTATTTTTCCGTTTTATAAATTGTATACCAGTAACAAGCAGCAGAGACTGGAAAAAGAACAAATGTTTATCCAATTGATGAAACCCAAATTGAACTCTAGAATGTATTAATAGATTTGTCATTTCAATCGTAAATGTTACACTGCTACTTTACAAATACTGTATATTTTAATTCAAATGTCTCCCTACAATTGTTAAATTACTTGGTGTCGTCGCTGGAGTGTGTAAATACATTATGACGTCACAGTTGTAATTTATGACGTCATCATAAGTATGATTGGATAAACTACAGAGATAATTGCTAACATTATCAAATAATTAAATTTTCGTTGTGTTCATGGAAATTCCTGCATTCTGATTAGCTGAATTGGTCACGTGTTATTGCATTCATTTCCCAATGAATGTAAAAAATTAAGCCACGCCCACCGCGGCGCACTACTTTTATTACTGCGGAATGTCGGGGAATCCCAATATAATAGTCGAGGGAATTCCCTTTCTGCAGACGTGTATCGTCATGCACAGGACATTTAGCGACTTTCATGCATATTCATTTTCCAAACAACCGTTTGAAACCGAAAACGAATGAAACAGCAAACGTGCAGGCTCTCTCGCCTGTTTTTTCCCCGCTCGTCTCGGTTCAACTTTCATGTCTTCGGGTTTCATGTCTAACTAGCATTTCTCTAACTGAGTTTTACCGTAATCAGGGAAGTAATGTTTGAATCACGCAGTAAATGACCATGTTATTTGAAACAGCCGCTTTCTCTCGGTCGACATATTTCTTCCGGTTCGTTACAGTCTGACTGTTGCAGTTCTTTTTGCCTCTTGCCTTAATTGACAGGTCTAATGAACATTGTTTTAATCCCACTCTCCGTTGATTGGCTACTGACTGTGTAGGCGTGTCAAGTTATGTGCATAAATTAAACGATCACCTGATTCATGTCACGCCACTGTATATATTCCTACACCTGGAATGTTTATCAATGTCGTCATTTTTGTCTGTTTTGATATATGCAACTGTTTTGGGTTAAACTATTGTAGATAAAACATGTTTAACGTTGTCGAATTTAATTATAAGCATTGACTGTATATTTTTTTCGGTTCATTGAGGTATGAATCGAAAAACCGATGTGCAAACTTTTGTAAGAATTCGCTACGCGGATTCATACAGTTTGCACATCCGTTTTTCGATTCATACCTCAATGAACCGAAAAAAATACACAGTCAATCCTTAAAAGAACAGTCTAATATACTGAAAATCGGTGTCTAACTGACGTAGCTAAGGCTTTTTACAAGTTTTGGCAACTTTGACGATATAAATTTCGAAACAATTTTGCCAAGGGCACTAGGCCTAGCCAAGCGGGATCAGTAGCCATATCTGTGCTTGTAGACCTCTGCGGCTTGAAACCTTTTCCACAAATTAAAATAGCTGGATTTGGCCGAAATATGTTTGAATTGTTACCTTGTTTCGTTTTGTCGCTGTGTACATCTGACTGTACTTAACGTTATGACAGGACAGGCCGACTGTCAACAACGTCTGAACGTGCCCGTGACGTCTCATAGACTAGGGTTAGAGTAGCTTCCCTTTGACAAAGGGCAGGTACTCTAGCGGACAGACCGATGGATTGCCGCGAAATGCAAGTAAAAACAATTGTTGTTTTGCGTATATGTTGCTTCGCCACTGTATAAGAAACAGATTTCAGTTGGAACTATATTGGCTACTGTCACTGTCCGACTGACACATCACTTACCCTGTGACGTAATAAATATTAATGCGCGCATTCCAGGAAAACTCGCAATGTTTCTGTAATGTTTGTGAGAGAGGGAAAGCGATTTTCAAGCACATAATTAAAGAATGACATTATATGATAAAGAGGTTATCACGCTTGTGTGCTTGGGGATGGTAAATATCCTGTACAAACAAACTGACTAAATGTGCAATATCTCTCCAAAAATATCCTCTCAAAGAGCTATCTGCCCTGTCGCCAACACTCTGTTTTCTGTCAGATAAAATTCAAAAATGATAACTAATGGTGGCCAATCAGCAAATATTTCCTTGTGTGTAGTGTCGAAACCAATCCTGCTCCTGGTCAAGTTGACATTGCCTAAACTGATACATCTTTGGTTCATAAAATTAGGGTTTTCGGATACCGTTTAGTACACACATGCGAGACCTTCAATCCAGTTACCCTGTTATTGCAGAAATTGAGGGAACTTACCGTTCAACAGTTATGTATGTCAAACTTCAACTGATAGTTAACCCAACAATGTCATCATATGTCAAATCAGACAACACGCTTTAGACGGATAAGATTATTGATTCCAGTGTGTTCAAGCAATGTGGGGGGTAAGTTTTTTCAAAGCAACTGTCTCTGAAGGGCTGAGGCTATTTTTGCAGCTGATTTCTCTCCGGGACTTGGTCGACATACGAAATATACGTGCCGGTATATAGCAGGCTCAAACCAATCCCTTAAAAAAATTCATTCCAGAATGCTTTCAGCCTCGGCTCAGGTCACGACCCTCAACAAGGCCCAAAATACTCACTCACGGCTCAGATCACTCCCCGTTAGGCTCAAATCAATCCCTTACATTTGGTTAGTTCTGAAACTTTCAGATTTCCATGTCACCTCCTTACCTGAAAAGGTGTTTGACGTTGACATACCTTGTCACTTGCAGACAGCAGGTAATTGTGCATTAAATGCTCTGTAAATATTACTTTTGAATTAACATGGGATATCAGTCGCTCGTTACAATTCTGAAAGGATGTATAATTTTACCCTTAAAAGGGCCGGATCGCTCAAAACACAGAACACTTCTTTACGAGCCTTTCTTTCCATAACATACACGTGTAGAATCAACCCACGTTTGTCGTGTTTAACCATTATCAGGTACCGTCTGTTGTTTCCATCTTCTGCTCATCCCCGTTTCAATATAGTTATGTACACGTGTAAAGACTATATTTTGTGTTCAACTAATTGAAATTTAAAGAAAAACCCAATGTGAATATGTGAAGGGAAAAAAAGTTCAATGCAAATCTTACAAAAAGAGAAGATGAAATTTTAAGTACTGAAATTACATAAATTCGTCATGTTAGAATAGTTTTCAGGATCAATGACATATTTTGCAAGTACCGACATTAATAATGATGTAAATGTTGTTTTAGAAGTTACAAATTATTAAGGAATTTATCGTTTTATGAAAGTGGGGACTGGGGTTTTAGTCTGGAAAAGATTTTTCCACTTCTCCGGTCGACAAAATATAATTTTGAAAATAATAATAATGTGCATATTTTAAAGGCTCCAAATCCATACCCTACACCATGCTCAAAGCGCTGCATTATTACCCCAGTCACTTGATTAGTGTGCACACGATTTGCATTGTCAGCTCCCGGGAGAGTATACAACCCAAGCTGCCTTTCCGGCGCTTGAAGGTTAAGTCACATTAACATATCACCCTACCTGGGTGAACAGAGGCATATTTCGAACAAAGTCACTTGCTGTATTCTAAATACTGAACTGCTATGTCAAATGTTACCAACCACGTATGCCTGTATTATGAAGTTAAAAATGTAAATTAATATAATCCGTTCTAATGATGTTCAAACATTTTCTTAAAATGATACAACAATTATATCGACGTGATTATCGATGACCGATAATACTAATTCACCGCAGATTTGTTTCCCTAATCAAACATATGGAACAAAGTTTCTTCTGCATGATAAACAATACTGCTAACAAGCAATAATTGTGAAGTCTCATTTACAATGTGCTAACATATTCAATGATATGTTAAGGCGATTTATTGTATCAGTATATATTATTCGCACGATAATGTATTGTTTCATTCTCAAATTCTGAGAACTACTCCGTGCTCCTCTAAATTTTAAGAACTACTTTGTGCTCCTTGATGTTTTTTTCCTGAGCTAACATGTGAGGTGAAGGGTTTAACGCTGCGTTCAAGGCTATTGCACTTATAAAGGTACGGGCATCCACGTGTGTGTGTCTGTGTATATCTGTGTGTGTGTGTGGCTGCTTGTACTGGTTCGATTTTATAGTGATAGCCCATTGAGATGCCATGCCGCAGTTTAACATGAATATCCCACTCAGACACAGTATACTGACTCCGAGTTGACCAGTCTTTGTTTTATCACTAATGACTAGCGCCAGGCAGGTTAACAAACAAGTACCATATTTTAACGTCTTGTGTGACGCGGCCGGGGATAGAACTCCGACCTTCTGTTCTCCGGGCAGACGCCAAACCGCTTGGCCACGGAGGTTTAAACGTGTACGTACATTTCCTATGAACTCGTGAGAGTGGATAAAAAAAGTTATAAATCAATTTTACACTGTTGGTGTCATTCCTTAGCAACATGACAAGGAAGTATAAACCTAACGCGAAACAACAGACTGGTAGCTTGGTATATAATCTCCTTTACTGGGGAAGGCACAGACGCAAGTCGCTTTCGTAATGTGGATAAAAAAATATGTTCACAATTTTAGCAATGACATTCTCAAGAAACATATGAAATGACAAAGAAATATTTTTTTAAACCTTAATATCACTGTATTCATGTAGCACTGTACTGTATCGTACTTGCTGTATTCGCGTAGCACTGTACTGTATCGTGCTTACTGTATTCCTGGAGTACGTTTCTTTATCTTACTTGCTGTATTCGTGTAGAACTGTGCTGGATCGTACTTACTGTACTCGTGTAGTACTGTACTGAATCGTACTCACAGTATTCGTGTAGTACTGTACTGAATCGTACTCACAGTATTCGTGTAGTACTGTACTGAATCGTACTTACTGTATTCGTGTAGTACTGTACTGAATCGTACTTACTGTATTCATGTAGTACTGTACTGAATCGTACTTGCTGTATTCATGTAGTACTGTACTGAATCTTACTTGCTGTATTCATGTAGTACTGTACTGAATCGTACTTACTGTATTCGTGTAGTACTGTACTGAATCGTACTTGCTGTATTCGAGTAGCGCTGTACTGTATCGCGCTTGTTGTATTCGTGTCGTACCCTACTATATCGTACTTGCTGTATTCGTGTAGTACTGTAATGTACAGTGCATGATGTATTCGTCTAGTACTGTACTATATCGTACTTGCTGTATTCGTGTAGTGACGTAATGAATCGTACTTGCTGTATTCTTATAATACTGTACTGTATCGTACTTGCGGTTTTCGTGTATCACTGTAATGTATAGTGCATGCTGTATTCGTATAGTACTGTACTGTATCGTACCTGCTGTATTCGTGTAGCACTGTACTGTATCGTACCTGCTGTATTCGTGTAGCACTGTACTGTATCGTACTTGCTGTATTCTTGTATTACTGTAATGTATAGTGCATGCTGTGTTCCTGGAGTACCTGTCTATATGTTACTTGCTGTATTCGTGTTGTTGTGTAATGTATAGTGCATTCTGTTTTCCTGGAGTATTTCCATGCCTTACCTTTCTATGTCTTACTTATTCTATTCGTGTAGTGTGATGTATCGTACTTGCGGTATACGTGTAGTACTCTTCTATATCGTACTTGCTGTATTCGTGTATTATTGTAATATATACAGCGGTAGAAACTAAAAGTTTTAGTCCACTAGTCCTTATAATGATAACATATAGCAAAACCCTTAAAGGGGCAAATTTCTACTAGTCCTTAGAATACCTTAACTATTGGGCAGTTTGTCTAGGACTATAGGACTAGTGCCAATTTCTAACGCTGGTATAGTGCATGCTGTATTCCTGGAGTACTTTTCTATATCTTACTTGCAGTACTATTTGTGTAGTAATGTTATGTATAGTGCATGCTGCATTCATGTAGTACTGTCCTGTATCGTACTTGCTGTATTCGTGTAGTAGCCCACTGTGCTGTATCGTACTTAGCGACTACAGTCTCATGGGCTGGTGATAATAACGAAATTAAAGAAAATAAACACAGTTTCTCTTTGCTAATCACGAGTATTTAGGCTGGGAATAAAATATCAAATGGTCCTCCCTTGAGCTATGTGGGTTGTGAATTTAAATCTAAATTTAAATGCCATCACTGAGAAGAGGCACTGAACATACGAAGATTACAAGAGACACTGGAAAATATATTTATTTCGTCGTCAACGAACTAATCGTGCTGTTCAGGTTCCAACTTTTATTTATTTATTTATTTATTTCATTTTGATCGATTTATATATTTATTTTTTGGAGGGGGGGGGGGGGGGGGGGGGTGTGTGTGTGTCGGCATGACCAATTCAAATGGCATCGCCTTATATATACATATATAGATTTTGGACTTTGTATTGAACGCTGGTAACAAATCAATCACACCATGATCTCGGCCTCGTAGACTGCTCAGCAACACAACAACATGTGCACTTGCTCCACTTATCTTCATGTTCCTGGTCTGGGGGCCGTTTCACGAAAGCCTCTAAATATCCTTGAAGTCCTTAAACCTTGCAATGTGAACAAACAATTTAGACTTGCTTGTACTTTCAGATAATAAACGTCATTGTGTCATAATTGATTTGTCAATCGCTCATGTTTGCTTATTTATGTCCTAATTATCCCCCGCCCCAAAGAAGCTGGCGGGGGATATAGAAATGGGTTCCGTCCGTGTGTTCGTGCGTGCGTGCGTGCGTGTGTGCGTCCCGAAATCGTTTCCGGAGCATAAATCAAAAACCCGTTAAATATTTCTCTACGACACTTTGCATGTCTATCAGACTCATGCTGAACTGGTGCCTTTTGCTATTTAGGAATTTTATAAATTTTTATTTTTTACCTTTCCATGGCAACAACTTGGACTTAGGTTCTATAAGGGTGCTGTTCGTTTCCGGAGCGTAACTCAAAAACCTTTAAATAATTTCTTACAAAACTTTGCATGTTTACCAGACACAAACTGAACTGGTGCCTTTTGATATTTAGGAGTTTTATAATTTTTTATTTTTTACGTTTCCATGGCAACAAGTTGGACTTAGGTTCTATAGGGTAGAGTTTGTTTCCGTAGCATAACTCAAAACCCATTCAATACTTTCCAACAAAAACTTTGCATGTTACCAGACACATACTGGACTGGTGCCTCATGCTATTTAGGAATTTAAAAAATTATTTTTCACGTTTCCATGGCAAAAAGTTGGACTTCGGTTCTACAGGGGTGGTGTTCGTTTCCAGAGCGTAACTCAAAAACCGTTAAATACTTTCTTAAAAAAAAATTGGATGTCTACCAGGCACATACTGAACTGGTGCCTTTTGATATATAGCACTTTTAGACATTTTTATTGTTTATGTTTCCATGACAACAAGTTGGATTTAAGTTTTAATATAGGATTGGTTTACTTAAGGAGTATAACAGATAAACTGTTAAGTATTTCCTTGCCAAACATTGCATGTCTATATATAAAAGCGCATACTGAACTAGTGCCATTTGATATTAAGGAGTTTTAGAAATGTTTATTTTAGAATTTTCATTGCAGCTATTTTGACATGGGCTAAAAGAAATATTGGGTCAGTTACCTGGTTTGGGACCATAACGTGTTAAAATGGGCGGGGGATATAGATGACTTTGTCAACTATACGCTTGTTTTTCATTATTATTCGGCTTATTTAAAAATTATTTTCTTAATGAATGTGGACTTGTGAATTTTTTTTATTTATTTATTTATTTATGTTTGAAGATTCACAAACACTATTGTCCAATGGCCAGAATCAACTTATTATTCTCATATATTCAACAACTGCAATTTGAAAAGGCATCTGGAGGAAGCGAAATATGACATCTGGCTTCTTGATGATTGAGGCCAGGTACATATGTATGTCTAAGTTATTTATGTCATGTTTGTCTTTTAATGTACATACATATATTTCAGGAACATTAACTATATCAAACCATTCTCCATTAGGTATGCATGAGGACCCTACCTCCTGACACCTGTCAAGAACCCTGCAAATGAAAAAGAGGAGAAATACAACCGCTGTCACATTGGAACAAGGAACTCAGTTGAGAGGGCATTTGGATTGTGCAAATCTAGATTCAGGTAAATATTTAATTCATGAAAGTTTATGTTTTAATTCAAGGTTTTGCTGAAGTGCCTGGACTAATGAGCATGTGTTTTGGTGATTGTATGTCATTGTAATTTCATAATACCTGTGCTGTTAGAATGTATTCATCACTATATTTGTAAATACATATATATAAGTATGTAACATCTGTTTAGGTGTCTCCACAAATCAACAGGATACCTATTATTCGGCCCATAGAAGAGATTTAAAATTATTACTGCCTGCTTTCAACTTCATAATTTGGTAATATAACTAAGGTTGCCTGAGCCAGATGTTCTTTGTGAGACTTCTGGACCAGAGGTGGACAGCAATCCTGCTGATAACCACAATATGGATTGATGTAGAGTCAGGGGAAAACTTATCAACATTTGGTTTTAAATGAGGTAGCATACATAACCAATTGTGATACTTTTAATAAGAGGCCACATAATGTCAATAATACCACACTAAAAGCTGTATGGTAGCACTTTTTCAAAATCCCGGGCCACTTTATGGCCACCCTTGTGAATATTGCATATTATTGTTTTTAGAGTTTATGCAAATAAATTGTTTTTGTACATATGCTATATCCAAATAATAACACAAACAGCTAAACACCTTTGTGATCACAAATGTTTCCAAATGATTTTTTATATTGAAATTTTTCTCTTTCCAGGTCCAGCCTCTGTCTTTGGATGTCACCCAAGTCCCTCTGTACAGACAGAATTTTCTCAAGGAGAGACATCTTTTCTCTCCTCCTGGGCTTGTAAGGACTTTATCTCTCCCAGAATGTCTTCTGAAAATATTCAGACAATTTCGGTTACATTAATGATGTTTGGATGTTCATTAATATTATTTCATTAAACATTTATGATCACATGTAATACAGATACTACTACATTATGAACAAATCAATACCATACCTTCATTAGATGTTTTCTTGGTCCCTTTAGGTTTTCCTTGAAATAAAATTTGTATTTTTATTAACTAGAATTGATTTTAATGTTAATACTAATATACTATTTAATAAAGTTGCATAATGTTTTATACATACTGATAGCAGGAGTTATCATTATATCCTCCAGACTGGCTTGGTTCTTTTCTGGAATGTATATCATTTTTTAAGATAATTATAACTGTTAACATCTCACATGGGATACCGGTATTCTGTTTGTTCACATGTATTTACAGCATAAACTTGGATTTTGAGAATAATATAGCACCAAGTATATGAATTTATTCATCATGTCAGTGTAAATTGCAAAGTGTAACATTTGATTGTCTTTATTATTTACATTATTTCATACCTGTGCTAGTTCCACAATCAGCTTCTCCTGTGCTCGTAGGTGTCAATGGAGTGTAATACACTTCCTGTGGAGAATCTGATATTTATCAGTCGTGAGTGCATTAGAATATTTGTATTGAAGGTATTGGTTGATTGTACCTGACCGTTAAGGGTATTGAGTAATATCATTTATGTTTTTTTTATACATGAGTTCATTTATAATATGACCAGTGAAGATTCCGGGGTAGAATAGGTCTTCAGCAACCAATGCTTACCTTAAAAGGTGACTATGCTTGTCGTAAAAGGCGACTAACGGGATCGGTGGTCAGGCTCGCTGACTTGGTTGATGCATGTCATCGATCCCAGTTGCGTGGATCGATGCTCATGATATCAATCACTTGATTGTCTGGTCTAGACTCGATTATTTACAGACCGCCGTCATATAGCTGGAGTATTGCTGAGTGCGGCGTTAAACAACAAACCAACAACAACAAATCATTTATAATATATTTAATATGTAAGGGGAAGTTACCAATATGCAGGAATCAAAAAGGAGCAATAGTGTCTACAGATAAATTAAAATGTTATCAACAAGATATTACAACACACACTAAGAAAAATGTTTAATAAATATGACATAGAAGAGCTACACTTTAACATAAAAAGTGTTAGGTTTTGAATTTGGTTAAAGTTATTATATTTACATCTTCAAAACAAAGAAAGCAATGAGTTTTCAGCAATATTTACCAAAGATTAATGCCTGTGTAGCTTCTTCAGCTTCATCAGCTACTGAAGGAATCATGCTAAACACTGTTAATTGAATGGAGAAAAAAAATAAAATTCATTTGTGTTATAATAAACAAATACTGTCAATATTTCATACATTTACCATCATATAAACATATAACTTGATTAAATTACATTCTTTATTGACTTTAATACACATGTACATAAATCACAAGAAGGAAGTGTCATCATTACCAGGTGTTTCCATGCCACCTTAGATCCCCTCAATAGCACAGGAAGGAATTAGTTTGTAGAATCTATTTAAAGAAGGAATTGGCTATATTACTATAATAACAGTTTATTTTAAAATGTGTAATACACAATTAGTTTTTCTTGAATTATGTCTATTGTTACAAAAACTCAATATGTTTCAAAACTCAAGACAACATTACTTTATCAGTTACATATTGAAACATTTTGTTTGTAGTCTTCATAATAACATGAATCTACGTTAATTATTTACCCTCTTTTCCGTTGCAGTTAGGTCATCTGGGGGTGGTCCACCACCAGTTCTCCTAGCATTCAGCCTCCTGGCTGACTCTGCCTTCCTGACACTTCCCTTCATATCCATCCTTTTCTTTCGTGCTTCCTCATCATTCTGGGTTATGTAACCAGTGGCATTTAGTCTGATATTTAATATTATTGTTATTATAATAATGATAAGTAAGGGTGTTTTTTGTGAAACATATTTGAAATTGGTATTTTTATTTGAAAAATAAGACTGTACTGTTACTTTATTTGTTCATAAATTATAACACTTCCTGTTATGCCACGAAAACTGGCAAGATTGATGATGTGGTTTTGAGGAAAAATCACTTACCCACTCTCCTGTGAGGGGTTAATAAAAATTTGAGGTGAAGTGTTGTTTATGTTATAAAGAGAAAACAAACATGAAAATAATCTGAGCTAATTTAACTATTACTACATTATGTAATCCAGTATATGGCCATATTAACCACTTCTCTCAAAAAACTTTTCCCCTATTTCCAATTTGTTTCAGTAAATCTCACAAATTTATGACCCTTGAAACACATGACAACTTCTTCTTACGTTTATGAACATTCAGGAAAATAATATGTAAGTTGAAATAAATGAATGAATGAATATCAACAAAATGTCCCCCTACTTTCATGCGTGAAAATCATATAGCCTACATCAACTTATAATATTAGCCTCACTTTTAGATCTTATGAGTTTCATTTTAACGTATCATCAGAAAAAAGGCGCTAACTTCGTGGTGATATCGTTCCAGATCTTCTTTGCATTATTTGTCACTGTATTCGTATAGGCGGAATTCTGCGTGTCAAAAGTACTTTCAACACCTGGCACAATGACATCTATGTCAGCCGAGGAGAAGATTCGTTTTCTTATCTTTAGTGCAGAAGCGCCCATAATATATAGTTCTATGTCGTCTGCCGTTTCGAAGGGGAACAACTCTAATATTACAATCTTCCGTGTTTCCACACAAGAGAGTTACAATTTTTTTGCCGATGCAGTTTGTTGTCGCTTCAAACCATCACACTCAGGAGCTATTGGTGGAATGTCGATGTGTAACAGCTATTTGGCGCTGATATAGAGAATCTCACCCGAGTGTCTTTTGTTATCAGATACATGTATTTGATATCAAAAGACACAATTTTTAAGGGTGAGATTCTATTTATCATCCAATATCATTCTTCCAACTGTCAGTTTGTAGACAGTAATAAGCAGTGTCTTAAGTGTAAAAAGTAGTTTTAACAGTGTGGTCGACTGGGGATTATTGTGGGTAAATGGATATATTTAGGAACTTATGGGTGGGGTAGTTTAAGGGGAGTTGAACGGCTGACGTAGTGCCTATAGAGGGGTTTCAGTTCCCATGATGCAGTGCGCGGTCGCCATGTTGGTTGTCAACCTAAACAAGCGCGAAACGTAAACACGCCGGAGAATTTTTTTCAACCTGCCGATATGCCAGTTTCGTGTGCGGTTATAAATTGCAGCAATCGTGCAAACAGAGACAAGAAGAGTTTTTTCAGATTCCCTGCTGTAATCAATAACAGTGATGACAAAACGAGGGATCTGAGTCAGAAGCGGCGCCGTTTGTGGTTGGCAGCTGTCAACAGAGAAGATCTCGCATTCAAGGACACCCGATACATGCGTGTGTGCAGCGATCATTTTGTCGGCGGTAAGTTTGAAATGTGTATGACAGGTAGGTTTTTCGTAGTGCGAAATTATGTTCCGCCGTCCTTCGAAACCGAGTATGCTTTCAATATTTGAAACGGATAGAAGGTAGATAGGCCCTAGTACTAGGCCTAGATCAGAAGGTAGATAGTACTAGATCTACCAGGCCTTTCCCTGTCTTCATAAAACCATGTCTAGCGTTGCTGTAGCGAATGTATTTTTTTGTGGTACGACATTAATAAGTTTTTTTTAAATTGTCTTTGCAGTAGCATTTTTAAGGTGACAATATAACTATCCTCGGTGATCAGTGGTCATTATTTCAACCAGGCCATCAGGGCTAAATGTTGTCACTGATAACTGTAAACAATGTGGAGCATGTCTGAACTGCATATGCCTCCATACAATTAATTGTGTTGTTGTGATTGTAAATACGTCATGGTTAATGTTAATAAATAAATAATCTTCTCCAGGTTCTCCATCAGCCCTGTATCAGGACACCCATCCAGGTTGGATACCTAGTGTGAAACTTGGCTATGACAAGGGCGACAAAGGCGACATGGGTTCTCGTTTCTTCCGTCTACAGGTGAACTTAACTAAGAATGTTAATTAGGCTGATTGTGGTTTGTCTAGTGGTAGAAATATGGCACACACACATGGGAAAAAAATTAAGGGTTGCAAGGTTAATTTATTGTTGCTATAAAGCATAGGTATGAAACATACCCCCTCTATCTTCATTTGGTTACATTAGGTTTATTGCCAGGACTTCTTGAGTTTCATGTTTAATTTTGAACACTGTTTGGGATAAAAATATGAAAACATCAATGTCATGCTTTAAGTGTACATGTTATATCAGTGTAATTAAAATACATGTATTTTACTAAAAATTACTGCTCTTTGTTATTTAGGGACGCAAGGAGGCGACACGACTCCGTGACCTGCGATTTGATGAAGAAGAGCAACAAAGTGAGGCAGAACCGGATGCTGAACATGCTGAACCAGTGGATCAGGACATTACACCTGAAGAGGAACTTAAAAGTTGCAAGATTAAAATTGACATTCTTAAATCAGAAAATGAATCTTTAAAACACGAGAATCTTCTACTCAAGAAGATAGTGCATAAAATGAAAGCAAATAATACTGAAGATTTTGATGGTGATGATGATAAAGTACGATATTATACTGGTCTACCATCCTTTGTATCACTACTTGCATTGTTCAATCTAGTATCATATGGAATTAGTCAACCTTCACATTCATCACTGACAATATTTCAAAAGCTTATTATTACACTAATGAGACTCCGATTGAATTTACCCACTCTTGACCTAAGTTATAGGTTTGGTGTCAGTAAAGCTACTATTTCCAGGACATTTAATCAGGTGATGGATGTCTTGTACATCAATTTGAAACGACTTGTATTCTGGCCTGATAGAGAAAATTTATGGAAAACAATGCCAATGATATTCAGAAGGTATTTTGGACGCAGAGTGTCTGTTATAATAGATTGTTTTGAGGTTTTTATTGATAGGCCATCCAATTTGACAGCTCGAACCCAGACTTGGTCAACGTACAAGCATCATAATACTGTAAAGTATCTTATTGGCATCACTCCCCAAGGTTCTGTAAGTTACATTTCTGAGGGATGGGGAGGTCGTGTTAGTGATAAGTATTTGACAAGTAATAGTGATTTCACCAACCATCTTTTACATGGTGATATAGTATTAGCAGATAGAGGCTTTGATATACAAGAAATTATTGGTTCTTGTGGTGCAGAGTTAAGGATCCCAGCTTTTACACGAGGTAAACCACAGTTAAGTGGCACTGAAGTTGAGGAGACAAGAAAGATTGCCAATGTGAGAATTCATGTAGAAAGAGTTATTGGTAGTGTCCGTCAAAAATATATGATACTCAGCAGCACTGTTCCCATTGATTACCTGATGACCAAGAGTACTGATGCTGTTCCACTTCTTGATAAGATTGCCCATGTTTGCTGTGCACTTACCAACATGTGTCTATCAGTTGTTCCATTCCAGTGAAAGTTTATTACTTATACTTGTAAAAGATTAAATACAAAAACAAAATGTCAAGTGTGTTTAATGATTTCATAATTATTATGATTCAGGAATAAAACCACCTAGACATGTTTAGTGTTACCTAAAATCCCATTGTATTGCATAGGCAATACATCTGATTCAGATTAGCCCATGTTCATTCTGTGCCAAGCACCACTGTGGTTCACTTGAAAAAATGTTTCAACAATATGAATTGATAATTTCATCATGAATGTATTATCATTCAAACAGGTCATGCAGTTACATCAGATAAAACTAATTGTTAATGAAATAACCTCACATTGAAATGTGATTACTGATATTTCTTTTAACTTGGTGATTTTGCTGCAAAATTATCTTGAACTAGTGTTAGTATGTCTTTGACCTACTTGGCAGATCAACAGCAAATATTTCATACATATGACTTTGAATTACTGATCCAATGTACAATCTGTCAAATGTAGGAATAAATCTAATTCTGAACATGAGAAAAGGTCAGTTTTTTTATAGTTTTAATTTGTACATTTTGTATGCGCAACATTATAACGCATGAATATCCTTTTGAGAACAAGTTTCATTAAGACATGGTTTGCCAGCTCAGTTACAGAACAGTGAGGACTGAGTCACACTGAAAAGTTAAAAGGATCAGGTAAAGTTACTGAAATCACACATCACTCTTCACTATTGTGTTTGCGCTTCGTTCCTTTGTTATTTGAAGAACAATCTTTACAAAACCATTTTCCTTTTGGTTTTCGTACAAGACCAACACACTTGAAGTGAAACCATCTCACTGTACATTCTTTCCCATCGCAGCCAACATACTTGCTTCCATCTTCTGGTGTCCTGCATGTACAAAACAATTCTTCCCCAACACTTTCTGGAGCAACCCTTTCACATGTGGTGTTCAAGAAGTGTCGTGCAACAATCTCTGGTAGAATAACAGATGTGAAGAACTGCATCGCCTGATCAGCTACTGGTTGCCAGAAGGCCACACAAGGTGTGATTCTCTCCATAAAAATATCATTTGTCCAAACAACAAAGTCACAATAATCATGATTTGTTACAAATAGTTGTGTTTGCACCTGGTAATAGTACTGACTGTCCCTTTTCAGTTGCAGTGACCCATTAACTTCCTCTAAGTATACTATATTGTTATCAATTAAGTCATCCTTTGCACAGTAAGGACATTTAATCTCAAGGCAGCCCCTTCCACAACAGCTACAGTCAACAATACCATCAGGAGTCGCACCAAGATGTGGATACTCACAGCTAAGGAATAAACCACATTCCTCAACACTGAAGTTATGGTGATGCTCACAAGATAATTTCTCATAGGCATCCCTTGCTGTTACCTCATGGCTGCATCCCCATCTTGTAGCTGGATTAGAAAACTTGACCTCAGTCGGGTAACAGATATGGCGAAGTAAACTCCTAGAAGGGTCCAACAATGATGTACGACTTGCGCTTTTCATCTTTGATGCCGTTATACGTCCAGCCCTGAACTGAAACCAAAGTGGGGAACCTGCTTGGTTCTTTGTTGCTGCTTCAACTGCTGTAACCTCCTCTTCTGTGATGCTCAGCTGATCTAAAACATTCTGACAGTGTTCTAAAACTTCATCATATGGGATGCCAACCAGACTTTCATCAAACAGCTCAGGAATCACTTGTGGAAATTGTGGTTGTAGTGGTACAGGTACATATTGATGACTATAATCACTATGAACTGCTAGACAAGATGGTCTGTCTGCATTAATAGTATGAAGAAAGGTGTCAAAATTCTGTGTAGATGCAGGTCCTAACTTATGGGTAAGTTTAGCACTCGATGAACTTGAACATGTAGCAGATGAATCATCAATTAATAAGTCAAGTTTCTTCTTCAATGTCTTTGAAGAGGTAAAATCAATGTCTCTTAAAGATGCATATTCAACCTTTTTCATCAAAGCTGGAAGTTTCCAGTAGGCTGGTTCCTGTGTTACGGTGGTACTTTCCCTTAGTCTAACAATAGCTTCAACAGCAAACATCACACTTGCTACATGTGTGCACGATTCTCCCAAACCTGCCATACAATTGCAGTGGGCTGACAAAACTTTGCCCGTGTCATCAGTGATGAACCAGGGGTGCAATGGAGCTTCATTCAAGCGCTGGGAATGCATTACCTGTAAACATACAGTGGAGGAGTTAATTTTATTTCAGATATAAAATTTACATTTAAAAAGTGAATGAAAATGATAGTATTCTCAATTCTAATACTTCATAATAATGGACTGAGCATTTAGACGTTTCATGAAAGGATTGTGAAGGTAATTTGCATGTGTATAATTTCAATGACTTGCTGAAGACATTTTGGATTCTGTCTGAAATATTATCTCCAGCTGTTATTTAATTTGTCTAACCGCTTTATAATATCCACGTAACCCACCCGAATGTTATCACTACGTAAACACACATTTATGTATTGGCTTGGCTCTTGTGCAGTAGCAGTTGTATAGGATGTAGGTAAGCTGTTGTTTACTTACTTTTGACTTCACAACGTGAATGGCCTTTCCATCTTCGACGGACAAATGCACATACGAGACAATGTCTCGTACCCAACCACATACAAATCTATCATATGCTTCCAAGCTCCTGTAGTTTCTGATGTCTGATAAACTACAAAAAGGACTGGGACTGAATACCAGATAGTTGACGATGTCGATGTAGTTAGTTGCCGGCAAATGCTTGTGGTCGTCACTCCATTTCGATTTCGGAATCCTGTACGGATCTTCTTTGTCGATCACACCAGTCTTCTCGTGATATCTTATACGATATACTTTGTCCAATAAATTAGCGTAATTATCCATTACAGACGATTGCGAGATGACAAATAGGAGCAGATAGACGCCAACGATTGCAGAGCGAGTGTGCTGCTAATGACGCTATATTGTTGCTAGGGACGCGAATACAACCAACATGGCGGCGCGCACGGCATGACGGGATAACTCTGAAAACCCTCTATATCTTTGTAGTCCTTTTTGTAGCAGTATCTGGTAAAATACAGTCGGCTCCCGTGTAGATATCGCTTGATCTCACCCAAGCGATATCTCCTCTGGGGTCCAGTTTGTGATGTTAAATGTGATTAGCAATAGACAATGGAAGCCAACACTTTACAGAAATTAGCGCTGATGGTATGGAAGCCAGTACTTAAGTTATCATAGATAAGTAATAGGTATAATGGACACTGGGCAAACGGGAGGCCGGGGGTAATTAGCACTGATAGGTGAAAGAGTGAGTATGGCTTTATGCCGTTTTGAGCAATATCACGGCGGGGGACACCAGAAATAGGCTTCACACATTGTAACCATGTAGGGAATCAAACCCGGGTCTTCGGCGTGACGAGTGAACCCTAAAACCACTAGGCTACCCGACCGCCCCGATAGGTGAAAGAATGGACATAGCAAGCGCAAATTGAAGCCAGCTAGGTAATTAGAAACCGAGAAAGATCAACACGGATCAAAGCAATAAGTCCTGGGAACAAGCACTAGGTAGATATGTTCCCTGGTCACGGTTCATGGCTGGCTGGTGTCCCCTGACGTCAATGGCTTCTTGAAGTTTTCTTTGTCGCCAGTTGGTAGACAGGACTTTGGTGGCTTCCCACATGATGTTATGGTTTTGGTTCTTCAAGATGTGTTAGGTAATAGCGGATTTCAGGTCGAGTTTGTTAACAGAGGTCCGATGTTCTTTGAGTCTGGTGTTGAGGGGTCTGAGAGTTTCTCCAATGTACTGGTGACCACAGTTGCAGGGGATCTGGTATATACATCCTCGGGGGTTGGGACTTGCGCTGCTTGTGCCTCTGCCATTAGCTTGTAGATGGGTCTTGATGGACTTCCCACTAGTGAAGGTGACATCTATGTTGTCTTGTTCTTGATGAGGCGGGAATTCTTATGAGTGACAGGGCCTTGGTAGGGTAGGGTGATTCTGATGGGCGAAGGAGATGTTTTGGCCTGGGGTAGGAGTTCTTGAGGGTCTTGCGGATGGTATTGGAGACTAGGTGGGCAGGATAGCTGTTGAGGGAGGTGAAGGTTTCCTTGAGATGGTCCAGTACTGGCTTCCATACCATCAGCGCTAATTACTGTAAAGTGTTGGCTTCCATTGTGTATTGCTAATTACCTATCAGCGCCAATCATCTGTTGGCTTCCCTTGTTAGTTTCTACCCTTTGTTATTTTCCACCTTGTCTCATCTTATTAATTTTGTTGACCTTACATGTACATATATAAGCTCTCTACCTCATGGCATTCATTACTAAAGCGCACGTTAAATCTCCAAAGTAAGTAAGTAAGTAAGGCATTCATTACTTACTTTGGAGATTTAACGTGCGCTTTCCGACTGATGCGTATTTCGCACACGGGCCCGGCCAGGCCATTTAATGTGTTTCCGAAAGGGGCGAAAGTGGTCTGTGCAACCCAAGAGGGGTGTTTTAGGGGTTATATAGAATATATAGAATTTGGGAATTTTGAGATTTGGAATAGATGCCGATGGGATTGGGGAGGTGAACTAAGGGAGCTGGGTATGGTGGATGTTTGTTTGTTTATGTGATATTTTTATTTAGGTTATTGTGTTTTTAGATGCGTTTTATTAGTTCCGTTTTTATTAAGAATACGCCTAAGGCCTTGAAGTTTTCAAGTTTATTTTGTGGGTTTAGTACTGCTTCTAGAGTTAGAGCCTTGTTTAGATTGAGGGTGGTTTGTAATGCGGTTCGATGTGTTAGGTAGTGTGTGCAGTGGATGAGTGCGTGTTCTGGGGTTTCTGGTTGTTTGCAGTGTGGGCAGTTACCTGTAGTGTGTTTTTTTAAATTTTTAGGTCGTTATTTAGGTTGGTGTGGCCTGTTTGGAGTTTAGTGATTACTCTGTCGATTTTTTTGGATGGATTGAGAATTTTTGGTTTGGTTAGTGGTTTGCTGAGCACTTTTTTGATTTGGCTATTTGAGTTTAGATATAGGTTATGCCATTTTTTTGTGATTTTTTGCTTGTTTACACTTTTAATTTCTGATTTTGAGATGGGTAAGTTTAAGCTTATTTCTGGGATTTTGAGGGATAGTTTAGCTGCTTTATCGGTGTTTTCATTACCGTATACTCCTACGTGGGCGGGTATCCACAAGAAGGTTATTTGTTTGCCTGCCTTAGTTAGGTCGTTGGAGCTTTTAAGTATTTGATTTATTAATTTAGGTCGGTTTTTGGTATTTTTGTTTTGGAGGGCTTGCAGTCCACTTAGGGTGTCGGTAAGTATTAGGATTTTTTTGTGTTTTTTGGATTCTTGATTATGGAGGGCTGAGGCCATGCCCATTAGTTCTGCCTTGAATATTGATTGGTTGTTTGGGAGTCGGAAGGATTGTGTGGTTTTAGTTGGTTGTGTGGTATGGACTCCGAAACCTGTGTGTTTGGAGGTCGGATCTGAGGATCCGTCCGTGTAAATGTGACACCAATTTGGCCAATTTTCGTGTATGTATGCTAGTGTGGTAGTTTTAGCTATGTTTGGGTCGGTTTGTTTATTTATTTGGCTAGCTAGTGTTGTGTCTATTTTGGGTATTTTAAGTTTAGGGGTGAAGATATTGGATTGTTTGCAGTTTTGTTTAAGATTTTTAATTTGGTGTTCATTTAGGTAGTTTGTTATTCTTTGGGATATTGGGGTAAGTAAGGGGTGTTTACGAGCTAGAGCTTGGTTTTTGGGGCTGATGTTTTGGTTTATTAAGTTTTGGATGAGAGGGTTTGATTGTAAGTAAAGTAAGTAAGTAAGGCATTCATTAACCTGATGAAGGAGTAAGCATATACTCCGAAACGTTGTGTTCCTCATAATTAAGAAGTTGACATCCATATATTCTCCTCCTTATCTGTATCACTTCTAAATACCTTGAATTGCATAGTATTGCTATGCATATTAGGATGTCGTAAATCGTAATCTCACTCCCATCTTAAGAGGGGCTTACGATGCCTTTATGAAACGGTCGTAAAACATGTCGCTAGGACATCCTAAACTAGGTCGTAGCGGTTAGGGTTTCGTAGCGCTAAGAGGCTTTCGTGAATAGGTGAGACTAAATAGGCATACATCGAAAGGTGCCTTTCGTCCCGTACATATCCAATGCTGCACCATAACCAGATAAGATCGACACTTAACTGTTTACAGATAACAAATATCTGGTTTCAAACCTGCTTACGTCCATCTTTTTTAATTGATCGTTTACAAGATTTGAATTCATTTAGCAGGATCATCAGACAAGGGTGACGAGCCTGTTTTAAGAATCTGCATGTATACTAAAAGAAAGAGCAGTAAGTGATATACGTCCACGGCAAGTCTTTTTTTGTAGAAAATGCGAAAAAACACGTGCCGCTGGGGCAGCCGAAACTACACGTGCAGAAGGGGTATATAAATGATACGGACGGCATGTCAGACACTCACACAGACAAAATTAAAAACACTACAGAAATGCCATGACGTAAGCGGGCTCTGGGTATGATACCGATGGGAGCCATCCATGCCCACATGGCTGGAACTATTGGTTGCTCCTGTGTTGCTGTAACTAATCTGATGCAACGTTACAGACATAAGACAAGCCAAGAACAGGCAGACCCATGCTAACTACGCCCAATGAAGACCGATACTTGCGTACTTTGCATCTCCGGAATCGATACCAGTGACGTCATCAGTAACGAATGCCTTACTCTACAGACAGTGGTCAGGCCATTGAATGAAATTTAGGCTTACAAACCTTACAGAGGACAGTTATATTGACAGCGCAACATCGTCGTCAGAGATTGAGATGGCCGCGACGTGACTAGCAAAGGGTCATCTGCACTGATGAAAGCCAGGTCTGTATTTTCAGAGTTTATGGAAGTCGGCATGTTTACCGCCGAAGGCGGCATGTTGCATTCAGGAGGTCGTACGTTATGGTGGAGGGAGTGTCAAGGTGAGAGGAGGAATTTGTGGGCAGGAGAGACCACCTTTGGCCGTCGTTAACTGAAATTGACAGTTCAGCGTCAGATGGATGCCATTCTTCGTCCCACCCCTCCCTTTTTGTCCACAGCTGTAAAGTGGTGTCCTATCTCAGCATGACAAAGCTAGACTTCATAAAGCCCGAATCGTAGAGAACTTCCTTGCAGCCAACAACGTGAACGTGCTGCCGTGGCCTGCACGCTCCCCATTAGAACACCTCTGGGAGGTAATGGATCGTGGTGATCGACAGCGACGACATCCTTCAGCCAAGCGACAAGAACTGATCCAGGCCCTCCAAGAAGAATGGCGACGTATCCAACGTGACGTCATCAGACAACTGAGTTTTCACGCCCTTAATGCGACGTGTCACTGAACTTGATTGATTTAAGTTATATGTGCACTTTGTCCATTACGTTGAAAGCTTGTTTTTGCTTCCCAACTGTCTACCAATATCGAATTTATGTTGAATTCGTTGAGATTTTTATCTTTTCAATACATTTTACTTCATGCATTTATCTTTTGTGGTACCTATTTGGGGATTCGAACCCGATACTTTGGCGAGACCAACTATCGTAATAACCACTAGGCTTCCCCAACGCCTTTGTCATCAGTTGAATCCGGCAACCCGAGTTCAAACGATGGCTGGTCAAAAACTTCTGAGTCTGACTAACTTTCAATTATAGGCCATAACAAAGTGAACTGGCCAATGTAGTACATTGTTTAAGCAGTTCATTGCAAGTGTATTGCAAGTGTTGAGGCCGTTTGTATATTATTGACAGCCAGTTAAACGCGATAGGGATCCAAATGGACACAGAAATGGAAACGAACGAGTACCGAGCAGTAATTAAGTTTTTGACTTTAGAGAAGGAGATAGAAAAACATATACTGTCAGGTAGACAGTGCTGAACTTGAGGAAGACACAGGTCTAAGCCACGGATCCATGGAAACTATTATTCATGAACATTTACAGATTCTGATCTTAAGAAAAAAAACAACTCACATTGCCAGAGGAAATAATATGGAGCTAATTGAGGATTTCGTCAAATTCCAAAAGAGATTAGTATCGGTTGACGAAACATGGGTTTACCACTACGATCCCGAGTCAAATGCATGGAATGGCACCATACCACTACTCCGGGACCAAAGAAATTCAAGTCTTCAAGATCAGTGAAGAAAGTTTTGGCCTCTGTATTCTGGGATGCAAAGGGTGTGATCCTTGTTGATTACTTAGAAAGTCAAATACAATTACCGGTGCCTACTATGCTGATTTGTCTCATCGCTTGAGAAATTCTATCAAAGAAACGCGTCGAGGAATGGTGACTGCTGGAGTTCTAGCATTTCATGACAATGCCTCTTGTCACACCTCTCGACTTTCAAAGTCTGCTGTGCGACAATGTGGGTTCGAAGAGCTTTCTCACCCTCAATACTCGCCAGACCTGGCACCAAGCGATTTCTACCTGTCTCCTGAACTGACAGAACACGGTACCTTCGTGCATGGAAAGAGCTATGGCCACAGCGATGACCTGAAAACCGCCGTGTGTGGGGTTTTCAGGGTGGCTTCAGAAGACCTTTTCCTGACTGGAATTGATAAGCTTCACTATCGATATGAGAAATGCAGTGAGATTATGTTGAAAAATCAAATAAAAAATTGTTGGTTTGTTTGTTAGACTTTTTGACCAGCCCTCGTATTACGAAAAGACAAAGCGTCCTCAAACAACAATGACAAGGGGTGTCTTATGTTGGATTAGGATAGACTTGTTGAACGATAAAACTCCTAGCTGTCAAGTAATACAACTCTATAAACAAAGCTGTCGCTATATGGCTGAAATAATGCCGATGAGACGTTTAATTTTAAGTCACTCACCCACTATAACAAAGCTAAGCTGTTTCTGACAACTATATTGCCCTTCAGTCACTCGTTGGACAAATATTCGTATAATAGCAAAAATACCAACCCATTTGAAAATATATTTGAAACTTAAATAGTTCGAGTTATCTGAAGTTCGACACAGCCGCAAATGATAAATAAATAAGGGACCAAGCTTTTACTTCGGGACAACATCAAAGTTCGACACAGCAGTAGTATAGTCTAAGTCCGCAGAAGGTAGTTTTGGTTGAGGGAGGTTGATCCAAGTCACGTGATCGGATAGGATGACTCATGCATCAACAGCGCGTCACAGGTGAGGGGGGGGAATGAAAGGTGTGTGTTTATAAGGCAGAAAAGAATTCGTAAGAAAACAAAAGTAAAGGGTTACGAATAGAGCTATGCGTATAGCGTGCTGCCCTGAATAGACAGACCGTACCCGTCAGCCCAGTTTGAATTGAGCGCGCTTGACAACTCACGTGACCACATATTTGTATAGAAGGCGTTCAGCCCTGTCCCGACTTGCATAGTTGATGTTTCAACGCTAGCTTTTCCATTTAACGCGATGACAAATAAGCCCTACGGTTTGAGTTTTAACCCTGTAACATGATGTGCACAGTTTTACTTCAGAACGTGCTATTTTGAAAATAGATAGAAAACTGATAAGTACATGTACCAGTGTGACGGCACGAAGCTAGGTTTGTTGGGAAAGTGATGGAAGCCATCTATAGGACATTTTCATGTTTACAATACTCACCCTTAGTTCGAAGAGAGAACAGAGTTTATTATGGAAAATTGTTTGACGAGGAAAATGTTTTATTGTAAATATATGTCGAAGCAGGTTTTTTCATAGCTAATGTATAGCAGAGAGACTAAGCGACCGACCGCCTAAAACAATGTCAACATACCCCGGCCTTACAATTAATGTTAACATACCAGCCTCGCCTGAAGCTTCCCATTCATAAATGGTGTGACCAGTGTCCCGTATTCATGATATGTCAGGGAACATGTGTTGTACATTTGTTATTTTTAAAGGGCGTTATTTCAGAGAGGATATATATGGGTATTCCCCCTCATTAAACCTTTCTTTCGTTGGTGTCTATTAAACGTATCCGGTATTTAATACATTTGAATGATGTAGGAAAGTATGTGCGTGAAGATGTTGTACCTATATCCGAACACGAATGTATGACGTCTTTCAATAGATCAATTACGGTTCTAACCACGACACGCAACATGACTATGAGCGTGGTTAGCAGTTCATATTTATAAACACATCGTAAATGACAGATTTCTGATGAATGAACTCGCCCGCACACATGTCTATAGGGTTATGTTCGCCCGAACTGTAAACAGTGACACATTGATATCAGGAAGGGTGCGTGGAATGCACTCGTCCTCGTAAGGGTAAAATACGCGTTTAAACTCGCTAACGCCGCCGCCGCAAGTCCACCCACCGGCGGCGGCGGATGTGCTTGTAACGGCGGTTGGCTTGATCCAGCGGCGGCGGTGGGTGGACTTGCGGCGGCGGCGTTAGCGGGTGGGCTTGTAATGGCGGGTGGATTTGCGGCGGCGGCGGTATGCTATGTTTATTTCTCCTGTGTCGTAACATGACATCTCTCCTTGAAAACATTTTTTCACAGTCCGGACAGGTGGCAGCCCCAATGGTGATCCAATACGGTGTGCGATTAGAGGGTACGGGGATCGGTTGGTCAGTCTCGCCGACTCGGATGACACGTGCCATCGGTTCCTAGTTGCACAGATCGCTGCTCATGCTGTTGATCAACTGGATTGTCTGGTCCAAGCTCGTTTATTGACAGACCACCGTCCTAGAGCTGGAATAATGCCGAGTGTGGCGTAAAACTAAATTCACTCACTCACTGATACCAATACATCTAAAAAGTAATGTCATCATTTAAATGGTGAGTTTAAACGCGTATTTTACCCTTACGAGGACGAGTGCATTCCACGCACCCTTCCTGATATCAATGTGTCACTGTTTACAGTTCGGGCGAACATAACCCTATAGACATGTGTGCGGGCGAGTTCATTCATCAGAAATCTGTCATTTACGATGTGTTTATAAATATGAACTGCTAACCACGCTCATAGTCATGTTGCGTGTCGTGGTTAGAACCGTAATTGATCTATTGAAAGACGTCATACATTCGTGTTCGGATATAGGTACAACATCTTCACGCACATACTTTCCTACATCATTCAAATGTATTAAATACCGGATACGTTTAATAGACACCAACGAAAGAAAGGTTTAATGAGGGGGAATACCCATATATATCCTCTCTGAAATAACGCCCTTTAAAAATAACAAATGTACAACACATGTTCCCTGACATATCATGAATACGGGACACTGGTCACACCATTTATGAATGGGAAGCTTCAGGCGAGGCTGGTATGTTAACATTAATTGTAAGGCCGGGGTATGTTGACATTGTTTTAGGCGGTCGGTCGCTTAGTCTCTCTGCTATACATTAGCTATGAAAAAACCTGCTTCGACATATATTTACAATAAAACATTTTCCTCGTCAAACAATTTTCCATAATAAACTCTGTTCTCTCTTCGAACTAAGGGTGAGTATTGTAAACATGAAAATGTCCTATAGATGGCTTCCATCACTTTCCCAACAAACCTAGCTTCGTGCCGTCACACTGGTACATGTACTTATCAGTTTTCTATCTATTTTCAAAATAGCACGTTCTGAAGTAAAACTGTGCACATCATGTTACAGGGTTAAAACTCAAACCGTAGGGCTTATTTGTCATCGCGTTAAATGGAAAAGCTAGCGTTGAAACATCAACTATGCAAGTCGGGACAGGGCTGAACGCCTTCTATACAAATATGTGGTCACGTGAGTTGTCAAGCGCGCTCAATTCAAACTGGGCTGACGGGTACGGTCTGTCTATTCAGGGCAGCACGCTATACGCATAGCTCTATTCGTAACCCTTTACTTTTGTTTTCTTACGAATTCTTTTCTGCCTTATAAACACACACCTTTCATTCCCCCCCTCACCTGTGACGCGCTGTTGATGCATGAGTCATCCTATCCGATCACGTGACTTGGATCAACCAATCACCTTCGCTATTTTCCCTCAACCTCCCTCAACCAAAACTACCTTCTGCGGACTTAGACTATACTACTCACAGCGGCGTCTAACTGTATTTATTTCGAGTAGGAATGGGCAACTTTGGCCAACCGAAGTATGACATAAACAAGTTAAACGAGGTAACATTGGCCAACCATGTTTAACGCTGGCCGTCAGCTGGCTTTGCATAAGGCTCTTTGCCGCACTGTGATGACGTCGCAAATTTAAAAACGTATACATTGTATCAAAATTGTTACAACGTCCTTATAGGGGGTGTAAGTAGGTCACGGGACTACGCGATACCTAACGTTATTTAGTACTTCCGGTGACAAACAACGTCTCGCGCACACTCCGTCGCAGTGGTGACTCAGCATAACACCACTGCCACAGGCTAATTTGCATATCACGTGACCGGACTTTTCTCTTGTTTGTAAACAAACGCGCTTTTTCAGAAATCAGTATAGAACGGACTAATGCAAGTATTTGGGGGCGCTTTACATATTGTTTTGCATAATTATATAGATATGCTACTACAACTGCGACAGTGTGTTGCATGACAATATATATTTATGCATCAAAGTGACCGTGTCGCTAGCTCTCCGTTGGGCTTCGATGACAGCACGTGGAGCCGTACAACCAATGTAAACATAGGATAAGTACGCAAAAACAAGTAGATGTTTACGTATTTGCATACTTTCTCAATGAAAGTTAACCATTCTTTGACATTTGTTTATGAAAATGTGTAGACTTGTCAAACATGAAACGGATGAAAAGCAAAATTTTTAATGCAATATCTTGAATGGACTGTGAAACATGTGACGAATCGTCACATGGCGCTGGGCTGTGGCAGAGGTACTATGCTAGCTGGCTGCCGGCCGCATGGAACTCTGGGTAGGAGAGTGCGTCTCGCGGCAATGGCGACAGCAGTGTCACTTCGGGCAGGGCCCGGCGAATCATATTTGGAAAACGCAGGTGTAACTTAGAAAAACATGACACTGTCACAGTCATTAAAACACTCGAGATGGGGAACATGAATAGCAAGTGTTGGCTTGTCAAAGCTGTTGCAGTGTTGTCAAGACGTCCTATGGTCGATGTCAAACTGGCCGCTACCCATTCATAAATATTAAGGTAAGTTTTCACTTTTTGCACACTTCTGATAAGTTGGTATAATTGTCAGTGTTGATAAGTCAATACTGATCGGTTCATCATCACACGTACAATGGTGATGGCGTTGAAAAATGAGCATAAAACATTCGTTCTGAAGGTATTTGCAATATGCTCTCGGTTTACGCACCATACAATGTTATGGCAAATTTCCATTACATCTATCCTGAGCCTTTTCCAATAATAAATGTTCGGCTCTGATAGGGAACGTCACAGAATTATATTTGTAGGTCCAGGGGAGATGACACAAACTATAGTCATATTTAAAGAAGGCCTATCGAGTGCATGTTGGCAACGCAAATTTTGTCAATACTTAATGTTGTGCAAGGAGACTTATGCGGGTGCCTGTGTTAATAAATAAGGATATGTGCCAACATCACGATGATAATTTTATGTGCACTGAAAAATCAGGTTTTATTCACACACAAAAATATTAATCTAATTTGTAAATAATGATGATTAAATCCTTGCGGTGTTTGTTATAAAGATCTCTTAAAAGTGACCTCACTTAAATGTATTCTGTATGATGTGAATAGACTTGACCATTACAACCCCATTTAACATTTGTTAAGCATATTCAGTTGAAGGTACAATGTACATGCTTAATTTATTAATTATATCTTGATGTAGGCATTGTAAGAAATGGTTGGTATTTTAGAAGTATATATTATATGATCTCATAAGTGTTATTTATCTTTTGCAGTTGGACCATATTTCCATGTTTGAGGGAAGAAAGATTTCCTCATCTTACTCACGGGTAGATGCATATGGATCACCAGAATTACCTTGATGCCAAGCATAACTGCACCTCAAGAGCATCTCAGATTATAACATATCTTCAGATTTCTTGGAATATTTTGTGGTCAAGCATTACATTGCCTATGAAAGAACAACTCTTGTTGTGTATACAGGTGTAAACATATTAAAGTTCTATCTGAACATTTTGCTGAAGTATTGGCTCTGTAAATGATGTCTGTGACCATCAGAATACACCATATATACACTGGACACTTGCTGGAACAGGACCTACTTGTCATCAACATGGTGTTGCAGAACATCTTGGGACTCATAAAGTCCAGTGTGAATCTAGATACTGACACCAGTAACAGTGCATGCTGGCACATTTATTTGTTCAGGCTTGGCATTTGGGAATATTTGCCATGAATGTTAAATACTCATGACCTTGGAATAAAATTACTGAATAGATCTGAAGCTTATTTATTGTTTTTTGTCTGTGATAATGCCATACAAAAAAAGTTTTTTAATATTTCTGGTATCAGCCATGATACTGAATTGATATTGAATATAATATCATAACAATGCACATGGAATGTGTGATAATAGATTTCCAGTTTATGGGTCAAAATTTTCCAAGAAAATACAACCGATGCTTACCAATGAAAATTTAACTTAACCAATGGCATAGCAGTTGTTGCTTTGTGAAATGAATTCTTTGTTGAAATATCAACATGTCTTGTTTTCGCATCACTGTTTTAGGGTCCAGCATACAAATTACACTGATTCATAGAACAATAGCCAATAAACATTAACATTTCTTAACCAGTTATCTTAAAACAGATTGGTCCAAATGGATAGCGGAAAATGTGAAATGACAGTTACCTCATTTGTTTGACTTTGATTTATTGGCAGAATATTTAAAAAACACAAATATATGAAAAATAGGTGCAATTGTTTCTATCTCTGCATCAAGTCAATATGGTTGCACTACATTGTGTTCATCAGTGTTGACTGAGTGAGTTAATGTTTTGGACTTGTGGCAATTTTTTTACTTTGTTCAATTGAGCCTCACAACCAGAAATATTAATTTAAAACCCCCTACCGTTTATCACAATTAATCTTTTAATCTTGCCCCTGCTATCAATCAGTCTGCAGTGTTATAACAATTATATTGCTGACGAGGTGTAACACTTTTATTTCTTCCCTCAGAAAAACATTACACTTCATTTATTAGTAAGTATCTTTCTTAATGTAGGACATGTCATTGGTGATGGCCTCCATAATTCAGTGTATTTGTCTTGCATTTTGGCCACTTCTGACTTGAAGTTGCTGCGTGCTGGATGATGATTCATCTTTTGGTTGCTGTACAGCAGAAATTCACTCCTGTATGACCAAGAAAAAAACCATTCATGTTCTGCAACAACATAGAACTAGACATAAAGTACATACACAGTGTAAAATTACCATTGTCCAACACCAGTTCTATTCATCACCGGACTTAACAAATAATGTTTACACAATTTGATGAATAAGTATATCACTGTGAATATTCATATGGAATACTAACAGCAGTTACTTGTTGCACAAACCTGAAACCACCTGAGACAAAGAGGTCTTTGATTGAAATATGCGAGTAATATAAAACAATTTGACTTACATACTTTTAATATAACTATGATAATACATATTCAAATGTAGTTCGAAATTAAGGGGTATGTGGGTTTTACAGGATAGGGTTTGATATATTTATTTCAAATACTAGATTATAGTTATCAATATAATGTATTGACTTGCCTTCATGGTTATTTGATTAACTGTTGAGTGATTTGTGACACTATAAGTTATTATGTTTATTCTCCCATATATTCTTTTTTGGTGCATGTTGATGAGAAAAGCTTTATTTTATTCAATTTGGATAATTATTTTTGGGATCAATATATTTACAGGCAGGGCTAAGAAAATCTATTTGGCATGCACTAATGACTGTCATTCATCCAAAGTAGAGAAAATTTTCATTTTCTCTCAACTTTTAATTATTTCACAAAAACATTTTTTTTATTATTATCTTTTTTTTAATTTTATTTTTTATGGGGTGGGGTGGGGGTCTTTTGAATCTTTCTTGTTAATTTCCATACAGTCATTAAGTACATGTAGGTGAGAGTAAACTTATGGTGCAAACTACCAAAGTGCAAGAAATAGTACATCTGCATTATTATATCTATTCACATTTAATTTTCATAATTACACATCAATTTATGCACAGGCTTTCTACATTGCATTTTAATTGTCTCCTTCATAAAAAATATTTATAAGTAAGTTTCTTCTCCAAACTAACAAATTTCTTAATGGAATATTATTTACTTAATTAAAGGTGTGTGACAGAGTAAACATGGTAATTATGACCAAATATAGTGCATATTAAATTTTAAGTTCCAAACACGTGACTGGGTTATTAAGTACTATAATTACTAAAAACATAAATAAATACAATTTACTAAAATAAATTTCACGTTTAAAAATATATTCATAGCATAGATTTTCCAAATTTCATCCTCCAAATCTTGCCTAATTTAATGCCTATTCAAACTGTCAAAGGCACGGCTTCCATGACACTGCTCATGCCGTCAGATACCAGAATAACGTGGTAAGTTGGGGAAAGTGGCCTACCTATTAGTAGTTACATCTTCATAAATAATATTACATCACAGAAACATGTAACACATCCTCCGTAATCATAAAACACTGTCCTCTGAGACTATAAATACACGTCTGAACGATAGTACCGCACTGGTTGTCAAAATTATTTTAAAGGTAAAGAAAAGAACACATACCTTCACGAACGGTCCCATGGTTGTCAGTTGTCATTCAGGAACCGATAAACCTGACAGTATTGACAAATAAACGATCATATTATTGTGAAATAAGTAAACTTTTACGACTGTCAACAGCGGTGACAACCAAGCGTGGTAGTTTACTTGGTACCGTCTACAGAGTTAGCTTTGGCGGCCGCGCATTTCGAAAGCAGCACTAGTTCACGCGGATAGGCATGTCACCGGAAATGCTGGCAACGGAAGTAGCGCTTCGCGAGACTTACGGGCCCTATTGCTTAATACAGTGTAACCGAATTGTATAACATTCAACTCGAGTTGACTGTCTTTCCAACAGTATCTAAAGTCAACAAATCCAAACGATCAATGCACTGCCTAGCCATCGATAAAAGTGCTGTTATTGTAAGTTTACTACTTTTCTACATTAATCGTAAAATGGAAGCACCCGAATGTTGCAAGTAAAGTCAAGTGAGCGCCCTTGTCTGGAATGCAAACGTCCAGTAGTTCATATTATTGGAAAGTACATATCCTAACAGTGAAAGACAAATGAAATCCATGTCGAAGTACACATTCACTGAGAATTTTCCGTGACAAATATTTATCGATAAAAAATCCCTTTGATATTGTCAGTGTCTTTGACGTCATAACAGACTGACGGAAGTGGTCGTGATTCGTTCGTTCGCAGACTGAATCAAAGACAATAATGTGTCTCAATACAAATGACAGTTTGAATTATATTTCTTGATGAAAGCCTGGTTTCGTCCATGTAGGTTTCAGTGTCGATCAGTGCTCTTTTATTAGTGATAAAAACAACTTCGGCGTAATTGACTGACATTTTCAAAGGCCGAAATGTAAAAGATCGCTAACAGCCCTAACAATACTTTAATTGTCATCGCTCAATATAGGACAGTATTATTTCTTAATAATTAAAAAGACTATACTAACGTACTACCACCCAAGAGTAGGTACAATTAAGAAGATTTAATCAAACTCGTTGAAACGTTTTCATAGACAGCAAATCTATTCACCACACCTATTTTCCATCACTCATAACTCAGGCGCCATATGTCATACAATCGGCTGTGCAATCACACAGACCGCTTATTTATACTTCGAGAGTTATGATGTGTTGTTAATGGTTTAAACATAACTTATAAAAAGCGTGAAACGAGATGTAATTGGACAATTTTAATACTTGAATTTGAAAGCTCAAGAAGCATAGAGGGGAGGCTATATTTATTTACAAGGAAGTGATAACTTGCACTGGTGAAAGAAGGCAATATAACGGTTTTTACGGTAAATTATAAGTAATATCTAGATTAAGTGAAAAAGAAAATTATGAAAATATGAATGACTACGATTAAAGTTGTATTAAAGTTCAATGTATATACTGTTCATGTGCTCAAAACTAATTTGTCTCACTCTGGCCACAACCAAAAATACATCCTCGTCTCAGCTTGTATTTAGCACTTGGCTGTCTTACTTAATTAGACCTTTGCTCAAAATATACTGTATGGCCAGTCCATGAAATACAACTTTTATTGTATTGTTTTATAAACGACTTTAGAAGTGTATTTACACCTAGGTGTATACATATATACATTCAAGGACATGCGTGATAGTTTATTTCGAGTACAGTTTCCCATTTAATCCCATTCTACAAGAGGGAAAGTTTGAAATAGATGATCGTAGATCAATAAAAGTAATCGAATTTTTAAATTTGTCATACAAGGAAAAATAGATTCTTGGAATTGAACTTCGAAAATATAACTAGGAAAACCTTCAATATAAATGTTTTTTCAGTAATTGTATCTTTCCTATTTGTTTTAGGTATAGCTTAACTGCAGCTTGGAGGGAACAATTTAAAATTGTGAAAAAAAACCACAAGAATGCATTCATTTTGACGTTTTTACAAATTCTTTTTCCTACTAAGGATCCAAAACAAAGTAGTTATTACTAAATACGTATGTCACTGATCGAAGTATTTGATAATCTAGATAATGCAGAGTGAAAAAAACATAATGAAAACTAGTTAAAACATCAAAACTAAATCACATTTGGATGGTTGGTTTGTTGTTTTACACCGCACTCAGCGATATTCAAGCTATATGAAGGCGGTCTGTAAATAATCGAATCTGGATCAGACAATCCAGTGATTTATATCATGAGATTCGATCCACGCAATTGGGATCGATGACATACATCAACCAAGTCTGCGAGCCTGACCACCCGATCCCGTTCGAAAATCACATTTAAACTGAAAACTTTTTGTCATTCAGAAATCGATTATCTATATATTGTGTCTAGATCTAATTACTTTTACTGTTGATGTTTAATTTGAACCATTCGAGATTTTAATATGCGAGGCTCAAATATTAAAAGGCTGTTTAATATTGCAAGGATCCATTTTGACAGTTTTTTTCACTATAAAACATTCCATTCACTTTCTCAACTATATGCACATTATTTTCTTCAAATATCAAACACAGATATAAAAAGCACATGTCAACATACCGAAATTAGAAAACTGCGGTAAAAGGTCAGTCCACTAATATCTCGTTTACTCGTCGGTAGCCGTGGAAATCTTCCAATTCGTGATGTACCAGATCTACTTTCTAGTTCAATGAAAGAGAATATTACTATTTGGAAACTGAAAACACGTGTATCCATTATACGACCACAACATCGATCAGTTGTTTGACGTGACGTCACCCACGTCACAACACGCGAGGTCAAATCACGCGCACATGTCCAGACGACAAATTCACAGCGGCGAGAAATCACCGTCTATTAGCCTACACAAATAAAATTGCAGTTTGTAACGTCATTGAACGAAAAACAATAAAGGTAAATCATTACTGATAACATACCAAATTAAAATTGAAGACTTGAAGATACTCGAGAGTACAGTCGATATCAATAATTTGTAAATTAATTCGATCTAATAACCTGTCGCGTAATGATAATATACTGAACAACAAAAGTTCCTGTGACACTGAATAAGATTTAATGCAAAGTTATGTTTTTTACCAAATCTGAAACAATTTCGGTTTGCAACAGATAAAAGACTCCTGTAAGTGTTCAAATGGTTTAATTTGCCATACTGACTTCAGAAAATGCGTGATTTCATAAAAAAAACCATGAACATGCCAAAATGTCAATTTACAAATCAATAGCGTGTGTGTCCATTTCTGGTTGCGATGCAAGCAACACATCTTTGTCTCATGGAATGGACCAGGCGTCGCACAAAGTCCTGTGGGATATCCGTCAATATATGCTGGAGCATGTTTCGAAGTTGCTGGAGTGTCTGTGGAACACGTGGTTGACGTCGAAAGCGCCGATCCATCTCATCCCACATGTGCTCGATTGGTGAGAGATCAGGGGAGCGAGCCGGCCAGGGGATGACAGTAGTATAGCTTTAAGAAGTATCCCACTGGCGACAGCCAATGCCTCATTAATATCCAAATGCATACATGACGTCAAAGGTCAATGTGGTTAATAAAGGGTTAACTGACCGGATGCAATTAATATGCAAATGTATGCATGACGTCATAGGTCAATGAGGTTAATAAAGGGTCAACTGACCGGATGCAATCATGCAATTAATTACTTGATCATTGGTTATCGAGATCAATACCAATCCTCAAAACGTGACCATAAACAATGGTTCTCCATTCTCAATCGTCATCGCCATCCTCAAAACGTGACTACGAGGAATAGATGTTAATCCTCACTCCTCGAGACGTGCTCTTCGCTCTGTCGTATTGCGGTTCGGGAACAATGGCCCCCTCCCCCTTACGTGCAAGGTTATACCAGCCGTCGTGTTGTGGTTTGGGGTCAATGAACTCTTTAACGCCCGTTGATGCAATACGTGATCGCATTCGCGCACTCTGTAATATTTCGCATCGCGGTCAAATCACTCTAGAGAGAGATTGTGAACTTATCAACACTGTGATGGTGTAATGTCGGTTTAGATTATTCTTCGTTAGGTGTGTAATCCATAACAAAACAATATTTCTGTGTTGCAGAACAGTTTAATTTCATTAATCACATATGTATTATATCATAACGATATCTGTAGATTACTTTTAGTTATGAGTGAGTGAGTCAGTTGGGTTTAACGCCGCTTTTAACAGTATTCCAGTTATATCGCGGCGTGTCAGCTTAATGTGGGAGGAAAGCCCGAAGTGATGCAGGTTTCAGACGTTTACCACTTCGGTGAAACCCACGAGCACGGGTATGGTGCTGACAAACCTAGAAACATAATCGGGGCGAACCGGGATTCGAACCGACAGTCATAGGTTTCTGGCGTGCCCAAGGGACGCAACTCTGCACAGCGAATCGCGGCGCCCTAGACGACTGGGCCATCCGTGCACCCTTTTAGTTATGAGACATGTGTAAGTATGCATTTATCAAAACTATTTTTTTATTCATTCAATACATTATAATCATCATCATACCATATGTGTTTCTCTCTATTATTAAAAAGAAGCAATTAGTCGCAATAATAGTTTATTCCTTCAGTTTGAATACAAATTTCAATATGATACAAAATGAAAACAAAGTTGTGGTATCATCAAATATAAAATATTGCGTCCTCACACATCAATATTCCATACACAAGATTATAAATTGTCCCCTCATACCATACCATAACTTTACACAAGATTATAAATTGTACCTTCGCAATAACAAACAGCAAACAGAATGTAATGTAATATTTGAATCAGTTCATCTAGTGCATATGAATTATCGTCCATGTGTTCGAAATTAAATAATTTAATCTTGCATATAATGCACATCAGCCATGTAATCATGCATATCAATCATCCAATCATTTAAATTAATATTCAATAGAATCAAATAAACTATTAGTAACGTACACACACACACAGATACAAACACACACACCACACACACACAGAGATACATACACACAGACACCACGCCACTCACTCAGAATACAAAACACGGAGATGTGTGAATCAACTGACCTGTTCTAGTAGTAGTAGTAGTAGTTCCATATATGGAAGTCATTACTATCCCTTGTTCTAGCTTAAAGGGGTCGCGTCAGATTTTCTAGTGAAATAGGATATTTTGTTTTGTTTATTTACTTCATTTGTAATTTATCATGTACAACGAATTATAAAATAATACTTTAAAATCATATCAACAACAAAAATGTTGGAGCTATTTTCATTGAACAAGAAGTTGTCGAGATGTATATGAATGGTGACAGTTGTGAAAACAATTTGAGTCTCGTCACATACAGTGACCACCGACAGGGGTGTCCTCCCATTAGTTAGACAGCCTGTTGTTAGACACCTTAAAGTAACAACTTTTCTGGTTGAGTGCACAACAAAGTGCAATGCTGTTACCTTGATTGATAATGGAATGACCCATAGCTAAACATCAAGATATAACAAAACAAAATGACGTGTTAAGTCAGATGTACTTATTTTATAAACGTTCATCTCAGATTTGGCTGTTACCTCAGATGTATATACACATATATTAAATTTAATCATGATACGTACACGTCATACTCGG